TTTAAAGAATTCGACCTCCACACGACAACCCAAGAATTTAAGAAACAATTACAGAACCATTCCATAATCATTAAAGAATATTAAAGAATTAATTTCAGATCTATACACCCATTACTGAGAACAAATTTCTCAGAAAAATAGTAAACTTGTGCAAATCGGGTAGAACAATTTTCGTCCATTTGTGCAGGTTTAGCTCTGGTGCAGATTTGGTTCAAGACTTGAACCTAGCTCTGATATCCCTGAAGGGAAGGGAGATCCATCATATGGATGGCCAAACCATGCAGGGTGGTTGGGCGAATTTTCAAAAATTTCATTTTCCCTTCCGAGAATCCTATTGATTTCAAAAAACTACCTTTTTCAAGGTTCGTTCTTGAAACAAACCATGCCAAATCTGTACCATGATTAGGGTGAGATATACCTGATACTGAATCCATGCAAAAGCTCTTCCCAATGTAAGTGTTCACGCCCAAAGAGGTCGCCAAATCCTTCATCCGCTGAAAATGACATAGCTTAGGGTGAGGAAGAATCAACAAGGGTTCTTCAGCAAAAACCTTAGATTCTTTAGTAATAATCGAATAGGATTGTGAGCACAGCTTCAAGATTGTTCCTTCCACCAAAAAACAATATCAAAATCCAATCTTGATCACTCCAAGAGGTGGAGATCGAACATGGTAGGGCGGCAAGAGTAGAGGGAGAGAGGACTGAATGCAGAAAGCAGTAAAACTGTGTAACATTTTTCCAGTTCGCCCTCCTCCTTTTATATAACCCTTAAAGAGTTAACCTCCTAATCTAATTAGGAGTTTCTTGATCCAAATCTTTATTTGGATCTGAACTCATTAAGTCATAAGGTTTATCCATTATCTTATCTACAGATCAAGATTAGCTACTCATAATCAAATTAGAAGTTTCCTAATCCAAATATCTATTTAGATTTGGACTCTCTAAGTGGATAAGAGTTATCCTCCTATCCTTTTTTGTTGATCCATACCCAGATTCGCTCCCTATTTAATTAATCATATTAAGCCTACTTCGAATTGGGCTTTAGGCCTATTAAGCTTTCAGGCTCATTTTCCTTTAAGTGCTTGATAGTTTGGTTTTCTTTGTAAGGCATGGGACCCCATCATTGATCTCTACATCAGCCACATGAGTTCAGCCCAACCTCTATTACAAGGCCTGACCGAATTCACTATTGAATATAGTGAACCCCTGAGTCCATCAGTATGGGCTCTTAATGGGCCCAACAATTACACTAAATGATCATTGGGTCCAACCATCTTATGAAGGCCCAAAGACTGTGGGTAGATGTGAGATTAACCCATCAGATTTATTATCCCTAAATAGTCTTACACTTAACCTCTCAACCCATAGTGATCAAACACTACTCGACAAGAGAGGACCTCTCCCTCGACTACAAGGTACAGTGTTGCACTCTCTGCTCACATGGATCTCGGGAATTAAAACTCTTTTGCAAATATTTTGTGAAACCATAATATATATGTATATCTCTATATAAATATATTTTGCAAAAACAAATCTCAACAATTTGAAATCAACTGCCGATAGTTTAGGTTTCCATTAGAGATAGTGCATTCCCCGATCATTCACTTTGTCCGATAAAGGGGCTGATCCTGTCACTATGATCACCTACTCAGATGAATTCTTTGATTGTCCCAACATACCCAGGTTTTGACCCCCTCTAAAGATCTCATTGATTGGCATATCAAAGACAGCCCAATCCGACACCTAGTGCAGTATCATAATCGAGTCTAAGGGTCAGGTGTAACATTCCAGTCTTGCCCACTAATCACCAAGGTCCAGGGCAATACTGGAATTCTGGTCTGGTTCAAGGTTTTAAGTAAACCTACACTACATGTACCTCGGGTCTCACCCTGTCAGCTGAGACARGCCACCCCTACCAACTTGGCGGCACATCAGTGTCAGCCTTGGCAGGATAAATCTCCCCAGATCTATCCAACGGCTGTGAAGATTCTAAACTAATGCAAGTCTCATAAGTGTCTAGTTTAAGGGTATTATACAAAAACACACCAATATAACCTGAATCAAATATGTACTTTTTTTATTTACAATAAATGTCATAATGTACATCAAGCTGATTGGAGCTATGGGAATACACTGTCTAAGAGGATATCAGTTGATTTATTGAAGTTTTTATTGAATCAAATTCGAATATAAGTTTTAAGATTCTATTGGATTTTGAATTGAACTTAGATATCCCAGATTTTAGTTGAATCAAAATCAAAATATTAATTAGCCTTGTGTGGTGCGACTGGTCTAACCTAATGAGACCCATTTATACTTGAGAGATGAGAAGCACTTAGCTTGATAATTTAACTTAGGCCCCTGTTTGCTTTGAAGGAAAAAATAAGGAAAGGTAGGGAAACCTTTACAAACCTTATAAAGCTTTGCATGTTACATCTTATATTCAGGATGCTTTAAATATTATTTCTACTCATATTTCTAAAATTAGAAATTATATTTTATATATTAAAAGTTCTAGAGAAGGAAAACAAAAATTTAAATATTTATGTCAAAATTATGGTTTAAAATATAAACATTTTATATTAGATGATAAACATAGATGGAATTCCACCTATGCTATGTTAGAAAGTTGTATTTCTCATAAACAAATTCTTACTGATTTTTATAATGTAAAAATGCCTAATGATATTGTATTTGAATAAGACTCGGAAATGGCAATTTGTATAAGAGAGCATGACCTGATTAATCCCTTTATTAATTCAATTCTACCATCAAATTTCTAAGTGGTTGTCAAAAGGAAAAATAAGCATTAATTTCTTTGGAAACCTCTAATCCTAGAAGGGGGATTTGACTCACTAAGCTTCCTTGATTCTCACACATTAGCTAATCATCTTTCGATATCATAGTCTAGCATGCGATTTTTATTGCCTAGGGATTTAATTCATAACAATCATTTGGTCAGTCATGCATGAATCATCAAACCATTAAAAGATTGGCCAATTCTTTTAAAGCATTAAGCATAGCAATAAAAATTCTCTATGCAAATAATAAAGTTCTTGAATTGAATTAAACAAATAACTATATAATCTTAAGATCACAATCCATCTAAACCCTAGCTAAGAGAATTTAGCTAGACATCATTAAATTCAACATACTCAAGAAAATTAAAGGGAAAACACAACAAGAATACATCAAAGAATGAATAGAATAACAAGAAAACTTTAGCCTTTGAAGGTAGAAGACAAGTGCAGCAACTAAGCATTTCTCCCTCTTGAATTTGGATTCTTCCTCTCATTCTCTGGCGTGCTGAAATTGCTTTTTCTTCTCTTTTGATGTGCTGAGACTACTTCCTCTTCTCTTCTCTACTGAATTCTCTCTAAGGATGTGCCCCTTTGCCTTGAGTCTATGGTCCTTTTTATAGTGCAGCCTCCCCTCAATTGCTTTTCAATGCAGACTCCTAATTCAACACAAATTAGGTCTCTTAGTCTTTATCTCAGTTGAATTCCTATCTCTTCTACACTGCCAACTGCCAAACCCGAAACTTGTATATCGAATTTCACTTGGTTGTCGGCGGAACTAGGTTGAGTTATAAACACAAGAATTGTAGCCCTATCTCTTAGCTTTAATTATCCGTTTGAATCATCTCAATCCGAGTTGTAGTCAGAAAGTTATGCCCAAAATATGGGAACTATATCAAAACAGAAAATTTCCCGATTTTTGTGCATACATATCAAATCCGATTTCAATGGATTCTCTCCTTCATGGCTACATCATGGAGTATCATTACTGCATGGTCCTTCCTCTATGATTATCTTGATCAATTAAATCGAACTCCTCCTTAAAATTGCACAATTAAGCTCCAAATCATCTTGCAAGACAAATTCATCATAATTAATGCAATACCATGCTAATTCCAAAAACATTATTACCCAAAATCCTCAAATTAGAGGTATGAAAATATGTACAAATATAGGCTTATCACCTTTTCATGTATGTGTATTGTGGAGAATTTGGAGGAATCGAAATGACTCATACTTTAATTATAAGACCTTTGATCCAAGCTGAGTGTTGGTTGCTGCACATTCATATTATGATTTTATGCTCTCTCATTTGGAGTAAATCCTATTTCCTATCCACTACTTTCTACCAGTCTTGAATTGCAGCCACACATTGCCATCTTGTATTGTAAGATGTTTGGTTGCATTACTGTGATAATTACAGGTAGAGAAAATGAGTAGGAAATCTGGGTTCCATTTGGAGGAGAGCCACAGTATGAGGCATCCTTGCAACTTACATTGATGCCGCTCAGGTGCAGTAATGGAGGAAAGCCTCTAGATGATGGGATCAAACTAAATATCAATGGCGCTGTAAGTCACACCAATATATATGCTGATGCTGGCTTCCTGGTCAGTAACTATGTTGGATCTATTGTCTTTACTCCGGCCATTCTACTTAGGATTTTTTTGGTTCACAAATGGAATTGGAATCAGAATGATTTATTTCTCCTGCTTGTATAGTTCAGATGCGAATGAGTTCTCATTCTCAAGAAAAAGAGAAGGAATTAATGACTATTCTAATGAGGGCATGTCATTCCACCAGAAATAGGAATGGAATTTTGATTATTCTATCCAATCAAATAGCTGGATCATTTCAATTCTAGTTTTAGACCCTTATAAGCAATGATGGCGTTGGAAGAAGAATAACAGCCATGTGCGATGTGAGAGGGCTTAAAATTCACTAGCGATATAGGCTTTTCTACCGCGTGTTTATATCAAAAGTGACTCAAAATTTGTCTGTTCGCTTCTATTGAAAGGGCACCTAAAGCCTCCTTGGTGTATTCATATGCAAATCACTGATTGCAAAAATATCATTCCACACCTTCCATCTCACTTTGTTTCTCACATTAAGAGAGAAGCTAATGGAGCTACCCACAAATTAGCAAAGTTTGCTTTATATCATGTAAATGTACTCAAACATGGTCTCTCTCTCTCCTTCCTCCATCATGTAAATAAATAAAACATGAAAGAACCTTCCATATCATAGAAATCATCGGCTACTGTGACTATTATTGCACTCTTTGCGACTGTCATTCGTACATCAGAGTTTAAAGGAATGGAGGAGCAACTGGAAATAGCATAGTAACAATAGGTAGTTTTCTCTCGACCAAATCCCGTGCTAGCTAGACCTGATTCCTTGGACCAACTGTTTGGTTACCATAAATTAATAAGCCTTCAAATTAAGCGGAAGTAATCTCTAATTTGGTATACAGTCAATGGTGTAAGGGTTGAATCGAAATCCTTTCGAATTGAAATTGGAAGGATCTATTCCCATAGTCTGTTTGATTGAGATAGGAACGAGAATGAGAATTAGAATCAACAGGAATGGGATTTCATTCCCAAGGGAGGAATTTGGCTTAAGTCAATGTAAGGCCTGTTCGAACAGCCTTGCATTGGGAACATATCTCTGTACCAATGTACTTTATTTCATAGGGAGATATTCCAATGCAAAGCCATAGACTGTTCGAACGGGATTTGCACTGACTGAAGCCAATCTCCAAAAGAGAGGCATGGAATAGCTATTTCTTCAAATGGGGGAATATCATTCCAGCAGAAATCCCTTCAATCAAACAATTGGAATCAAAATAGCCCATTCCAATTCCTATTTCGGACCCTATTCCGACGAATCAAATGGGGCCAATTCTATTTAGATTTTGTGTACCTTTTCAGCTCATCTAGTTCGCTTCTATAGATAGATTGCCGAAATAAGTAGTTCTTCCAAGCCAGTTGCAGTAGGACATTATCAATATGAAGGAATGACTGCCTGATATATAGTACGTGTAATTAATTGACACTTTAAGTTGTAGATGAAAAATTAATCTAAATTAAGGTTATTACAAGAACTGATGAGGTTCTTACTTCTTACCTGTACAAGGAAGATTTTCCCATCAAAGGAGAGGTCGTTTTATTTACTTCAATGCACATCCTATGCTCTAGATGATCCATTCGAGCACACCACTGAAGCCTCAACTCATGCTCAACCTATATTATATCACATGCATGTAATCAACACCAATGCAATCCAAATCATTTCAATTATCCCTTTCAAGTCTACATCTTGAAAACCGAAAAGCTTAAGGTGTTAAATGAGGCCCCTAAATAGGTATTTATTGTCTAACATACCCCCTTGTCCTAAATTCTGTCAAGCTTGAAGAGTAGTCAAATATAGGCCCATTCATAATGGGCGACGAAGATTAAACACCAAATCACTTGGTCAACAAACTCTAATATATATTGTATTAATTTTCTAACACATCCAGTAATCTGCCATACATTTTGTTAATGAAACACAATATGAAATTCATTTCTAATAAAATGTATTAATAGTTTAATTTATATATGTGTACTATTCAATATTCCATTGCAATCCAAATTCGGCTCAAATCCAATTAATGGATAAGATCCCATTCGAGTTAGGATCTGGTCACAACAAAAACTGTCCCAACACACTTCCAATATGATGTGTGTCGGATTTACATCTGAACCATTTGATTGGATCCGTTAATATCCTACTAACAAAAGTAAATGACTTGCAGGCCGGCCTAGCTAAGTAGTATAATACATTCTGAACCAAATTAAGCCCTATTGAGTATTGCCTAACAGGAAAGCCTTGAGGGGGTTTGATTTTGCAAGGAGATCATCGAGTTACCAGTCTCCAGAAACGTGGTGGGAGCAAAATGGTGTCATTATTCTTTGTAGCCTTGAAAGATATTGCTTTCTCTAGTAATTTCCTCGAGAGTGATCTTGCCTCCTCAAGTTCATCTTCACCCAGAAACAATATTAGATCTGTTGCTTTGTAAACATTACGCATTGCATCCAGTAAGTACTCCTACTTTTCTTCCACATGATGAGCTAGTATATTATCCTGACGCCTCAAGAACGAAAGGAAGCTCCCTGTGTAATTAATTCAATAAATCATTATCTAGCTAACTAGAGTGAAGAGAGACAAATTAAGAGAGAAACCTTATTACCTTACCTGGAGATACAGGGTACCCATGCATTGTAAATAGTTGGAAAGCCAATGCGTCCTTGTAAACTTGTGTTGGTGTAACTTTCAGTACTTGCACATATTGATGATGTCGATCCATGTAACTCCTGAATGTTTCATTCACAAATTTAATGAATCGAATTAACCGAAGGGGGCTTTGTAAGCAAGCATGGCACATCTTTGTATAAGTTATCAATATTGCATTACCTATATACTTGAGCCAGTGTATTTTCAATCTCTTCAAGGAAATGTTCAGCCAACCCCAATTGTTCCACTTGATTGACAACGCAAAGCTTTATAAGTTAGATCTTCATCCATGGGATACATTGGAGGAACTGTACAGAAAAACTACGATTCAGTTGGCGTAATGGCCAGAGCCTGAAAGCAATGTCAATGTCAAAATCATCCATAAATACAATTAATTTCCAGTAGTGATTTCATAAGGTCAAATTGATGAATCCATGGCATCATAAATAAAACACTGACAGGATGGACTAACAGTTTATGGATGAAATGTAACCATATATATAATGGACTAACTGGTTCACCCACATGTTGAAAACACTAGCCTAAAGCCCATCGTTACTGGGAATGGGAACAGGGCGGGGTGGGGCAGGGTTTTGCATGTCCTGTAGCCATAAACGCTTGTGCTGTGGCAGAGGGCGATTGAAATTTGGAACCGTCCTCGCTCAAATGTTTGACTATTTCTTCTTGCTTAATATCATATTCATATATACGTTGGAGGCAACGCTTTCAAATATGATATTAGTGAAGGATGGTGATGATGAAATTCGTCATCAACAAGTTTCTCACTGCACCCGGCAAGGGGAAGCTAATTAAGCTCTAGTCAAGTACAAATCAATGACAAGAGGACGTCAATAATCGATCAACAAGTTTTTAATTTTTTCTTGTTTTATTAAATTTTTTTTTATCAGAACAGACCGTCTATTTGAACCAGACAATCAGACCGTTCAACCCAAAAATCGGATCCAAACGATTTCCTCCCCGATCCTGTTTAAAGCATCAAAGCACCTAGCTAATACACACAAATTATTACCTGTCTGTGACCAGGGTGGCAGAACAAAATATCATGTTTTGGTGATATGTTTAACACGACAATGTTTTGATGAAACAAACAAAATACCATGTCAATAATCCGAATTACTCTTAAAATACTGGCATGTTCAAAAATCACCGGCGGGTCGTTGAATTATCTGCAACCCTGGTGGGAGGAAACGTTTTATCCCCAAAAACCATTTACTTGGTGTATCTTATTGAATTTTAGGGCTGTTTAGGGGATTGTGGAATCAAGAGTGAGAGATTGAATGGTTGTGGGCTTTATGAATTTATGACGGGCAAGGGCATGGATTGTTATTATTGACCTCGACCATAACCTGATAAATAGCTATTGCCCCGGGGAGCCAGGAAATTGTTATAAGGGGTGCCAAAACATAAATAAAATATATGGTGGGCCCATAGGAGGGAGGAGGGGGGGGCAACCAACGAGATGGAGAGTGGGAGAAGGGGAAAATTTACATGAAAAGTTGTATTACAATGGGGATTTTATGAACTATAGGAGGGGCCATGGCTCCCCTGGGTCCCCAGGCTCTGCCCTTGGCTATTGCATTCAGCTAGCCTATATGCCGTCTCAATGGTACTAAGAAAAAAAAAAGGAAGGGTTATTATCAGTATATTTGAACCCTTGTTTACCCAGACAGTAAGACCATTCGGCCTAGAAACTATTCAGGCAATCGGTTTTGTTTCACCCTTTAACCCATTCTTGGGCAAAACTCCGTTGACTTGGTCGAAGAACCATCGACCTGAACAGTTGAACCATTAACCCATTCGACCCAAACAGAAGTTTGCGGGTACAACAGAAAAAAGAAGAACATATCAGATCTGAGATCCAAGTACACAGTATAGAGAAGAAGAAGAAAAATATTGCAGAGGTTGGAGACTGGAGAGAAAGATCTCGGATCTCTGCGTTTCTATTGCCACTGCAGTTGCCATCATTATCACCGTTACTCTTCTTTTTTCCCTCCTTCCTTCCTTCCTTTCTTTCTTCTCTTTCTCTCCTTACTTTCCTTTTTTTTTTCTTTTTTCTTTTTCCTTTCTTTCTTTCCTTCTTTTCTTCTTCTTCCTTTCATTCTTTCTCAGCCCACAACCACAGCCTCTTTCTCATAAAAACTAAAAATCTAAAAGACTAAAACCAACATTTGCCCTAATAATGTAAACCATCCGAACTGTTTGACCCAAATGAACAGCTGACTCGAAAACCAATAGTTACAGCGATTTCATTTTAAGTCAGTTTTTAAAACCTTGATAACTATGCCTTTCTCTACATTATTAGCTCCAACATTCCAAGCAACTAGAGAAACCATACAAGCGAGAGTTGCAGGCAAGCAATCGATGGAGGGAATATTGTCACGGCCATTGGAGTCACCCCAGAATCGAGCATCATTTTGATTACTGAGTATCCAATCCAAACACTGTTGGAACGTGGGCCGATCGAGATGTTGATCAGGATGAGGGATCATAGCTAGCCACGCAGTATCATAAGCACACGGGGATATGAGAGTGTAAAGATCAAGGGATGAAGAGAATATTTCATCCTTAATCTTCTCAACCAGTTCCTCAATCGAGGATTTTGATTTTGCCGCCTCCATGGATACTTTTTGTGATGCAAATCACCACCCCCAACGGACTACTTATAGTAATAATTTGTGGTTCACCGTCAGGTGGGGTTCATTATCATGTATTATCATGCATAGATGACGTGTAGATATTATTTGAGCAACCCACGGTTTATGGGATGAGTCCAGATTTCTTACTTTTCTTACCCACTCATCATGTTTTTTTTTTCTTTCTGGATTTTCGTAGAGTTCTGAAAATATGGAAGTATTAGACGTTTTGCAGGAGAAAGCTTAGTAATGAAGAAGGAAGGGATAAAGATAGCCAAAAAGCTAATAAAAACCTAAAATGGTCAAATTCACGAGAGGATGCAGTTTATAGGAGGGGCTACTAGTAGATTAGGAGGGGGCTGCAATTTTAGATTTCTGAGGTGGATTGCAGTCTACTTATCCCTTAGATTTAAGAGAAAAAAAAAGAAAAATTAAGTGGGGATTTTGATAATTTCATACATTCTGTTATATGATCTCTCAATGACGAGGGGATATTTATTGTCACTAGGCATATATAGTGTAAGGGGGTATTTCTAATTTATGTAAAAAAGAAAGGGATTTTTAGATTGCACTTCACCTCACAAATCTGAGTTGAACTGCAGACTTACAATGATTCAAAATTATAAACAGTTCACGAATAACACTCGTATCAATATGTAAATTGGCATCAATTCCAAGCTGACACCTATCTCCAACTGTACATGGAGTTAAGATTTTTGAGAAGAAGTGCAGTCCAAAAACCCCAAAAAGAAAAGAAAAAATTGCCTCGTAAAAACAACTGATTCGAAACTATCAACCATGAAGGTCTTCTACATGAGTAGAATCCCTAATTTATCATAACAAGAATGACTGATCAGCCCAGATTGATCTGGTTCCATTAATTATAGGAACCAGAAACTACCACATCAACTGGACGAACCTTGACGTGATCATGTCGCATTGAAAGGTGTTAGTGTTTAGCTTTGTTTGAAAAGACAATTGGACAAACATCGACAGTATTCATTGAATGGACAAAAACAACAACTGCATGAGGATTGCCAACTTGTCATAGGTGACTCCTTCGCCGTGCCATCAAGCACCTACAGTGAGCCATTAGAGTGCCAACCGCGTGCCTTCATGATGTCAACATGTGTGTCATGGGTGGGCTTTGCTTGTATTTTGTAAGGGAGACCGCCAATGGTGTTATTGTAATTACTTAGTATGTTTTTCCGTCCTTTTGATGTTTCCTTTCGTCACTCCCCTAAAAGCTTAATGTACTCTTTGAGGAGAGGTAGGTAGTTGAGTGAGCTCATAAGCGTGTAAAGGTTAAGCACGAGATCCCCTCGACACTGTACTGTGTGCTTGTGTTTACCACTAATTAATGCAATACAAATAGCCTTTTTGTGTGTGTTTGCTTTGTTTCGTAGGCTTACTCGCCCATTTCGAGTGCCGCACGGGGCCCCAACGATTACCCCCGTGACAGTTGATATCAGAGCAGGAGCTCCTACACACACTATGGACCTTGTCTTCGTCCCTACATCAACACAATGAAGAGCAATCGGGGCATTGCCGGCTTCAAGCCCACGACACTGATGACACTCCACTTGACGAACCTACCAAGACACAAGCCCCAAAGGGGCGTACAACTAAAGCTAGCAAGCACGACAAATCAGTCGACCAACTAGCTGCCGTGGACATGCGCCTCCTACGTTGCGAGGTGACAGTGGGAGAAACCCGAGACCGGGTTGATGAATTCCACCTCAACCTAGAGACGGTTGAGAATGCAGTGGTGGAACTAGAAGGACGTTTCAATGGCGCCTTCAGAGACATGCACACCACCATATAGAATTCGGGAGCTGGGCCTTTCCAAAGCAGCCTACAGGGCTTGCTAGACAGATTTCAAGCACAATTGGATGAGATGAAAGATGAGATGACTCTCCTAAAGAGGGCAGTGGCCAACGCACCTAGCACTCCCTCCACCCTAGCTTCCATGAACATCAAGATCCGAGAGCCAACACCTTACTCGGGTGCYCRGGATGCTAGGGAGCWTGACAACTTCTTGTGGCAATTGGAGCAATATTTCTCCGCCACTGGCATCATTGAAAACCAAACTCAGGTACGTACAACTGCTATGTATTTGACTGATATCGCAATGTTATGGTG